GCATGGATGGATGGATGCATGGATGGAAGCATGGATGGATGGAAGGATGGATGGATGGATGGAAGGATGGATGGAAGGATGGATGGATGGATGGATGGATGGATGGATGGATGGATGGATGGATGGATGGATGTTTCTTAAAGGTAAGTTGAGCAAAACTGTAGCTAAACATTAAAAAAGGCATAAGAACATAAAGAGAGTGTAAATATGCCACATTAAATTTTGGAGATCAATGTTTATGTTAGAATTGAAAAGATTTCAACACAGTTCTATTGGCAACATTTTTGTTATTAAAAATTAACTATTAAAAAAGTATAAAACTTAAACAAATACTAAAAAAAATCATATAAAACAATTCTATTTTGGATATTAAAATTGTTAAAAAAGAATAAAGTAATGGTAAATGGACTGTACTTATACAGCACCGTTCTATCTAATCAAGATACTCAAAGCTCTTTACAACAATCTGTGCCTCATTGACCCATTCATACAGCTCTATACTAGATCTCTATAAAGATAAGTGAACAAATCATTCTAAAGAGAATAATCAGAGCTTTAGATCACAGTCAGACACTGATGGGACACACATCAGAGGAAATGAGGGGTTCAGTGTCTTGCCCAGGGACACTTCAACATGTGACTGCTGGTGGATTCGAACCCCCAACTCTTGCATTGGAGGACGACTGCTCTAACCACTCAGCCACAGCCGCCCCATATGAACTAAGAAACTATAAACAGTACAACAGTAGAGGAGTCACAGTAGTGACTCAGCATTTTCATTACAGTATTACAATAAACTTAATAGAAAATATAAAATTTTGTAAATGCACTGAAAATTTTTGAAATCTTCAATTGAAAATGTTCCCAAGTGGTACAACCAAAGTGTAACAGTTAGTTATACATGGTGATAACTATTGAAAAAAAAATTCAACTGGATTTGTTATTATTTAAAATAATAAAATGAAGAACTACAACATAAACAGAAATGATGAAATCTTGGACATAGTTGTAGATTTACAAAGAACCATTCAATATTTTTAGCTGCTGTTCTTTTTAAGAACCATTTCCTTGACTGGCAATAAAAAGTGCTAAATCTGCGTGAGCGCACACACACATATACAAACCAGTGTGTGTAATATAGTTATCTTATATCCTGGCACAGTGTCGTTTCTTATCTGTAATCTGTTTTACTGCTGTGTTTTGTCCTGCATCGTTCTTTCTCCATGTTGTGCTTTGCAATAAACTCTTCAAGTATACAGATAGGCTGAATAAGAATGTATTTTTAGGTTGTGTTTCCCTATTTCCTGCCACTGTGTGTGTGTGTGTGTGTGTGTGCGTGCGTGCGTGCGTGCGTGCGTGTGTGTGTGTGTGTGCCTGCGTGTGTATGTGCGTGCGTGCGTTAGAGAGCGCGAGAGCCTGTCTGACACCAAAATATTCCATGAACCAGTGGAGAGATTGTATTGAATCTGGCAGAAAGACATTTTTGAATGTCTATCTAAAGCTGATTAACCTTTAGAGTCAGCCAGATTCAACATGGCTGCCACAACTAACCAACACAAAAATAAGTATAAGAGTGGAAGTAGCTGACACTGATGTATTTATTTAACCTTTATTTATACAGCTAGTCTCATTGAGTCATGATGACTCATTTTCAAGAAAGACCTGTTTGGGAGCAGATGGTGGGGGGTAAGGGCCTTGCTCAAGGGTCCAGAGAGGGGCAAATAAGGATGGAGGCAGGTGTGGGTGTTTCACTTTTTCCACCCACATTTTGATGTCCGTCTGGGGAGTTGAACTGGTGACCTTCCAATCACAGGCCCACCTTTCCTAACCTCTGCACCACCACTGCTCACATCTTACCATTAATGCTTTGAAAATTACTCATTTTATCTCTTAGCAAACTATTTCATGAATCACTTGATGCATTATTATGAAACTTTAATAGTTATTGGATGTACCTCTACAACTGGTACATCCAATCATTTCATTTTAGAGCCAACCTTATTTAAGATGGCCACTACAGCCCACTGATTTTAGAAAACACAAAAATGTAAATAATTCTGTCACCTTCACAGTTAATGAGTAAAACTGTTTAGTGGGTGTGGCTGAGGTTTGTTCACAACAGATACTGTTGTGGGCCTCTATCTAGGGAGTACCTCTCAGTCTCACTAAGAAGAAAAGAACCATGTGGGTGGAGGGGGTCCAGAGGAGGGCAAGAAAAAAGGCTGGTGGCCAGAAGACCGTCCAGTGCTGTTCCAAGGCTCATGTGGACAGCCAGGAGGTCGTCTGGCATTTGGTAACCTCTCTAGTGGACGGTCGGGTGACCATCCAGCACATGTCAAAAGGGGTGCAGGATAGGCAGACAGGGAACCATTAGAGGAGGAGGCTGCAGTAGATGATGGGGTCAGACCAGCAGGTGATGGGGTCAGATCTGCAGCAGGCGAAGGGGTAGAGTTGCACTCGGGTCCAAAAAATCAGATCCGACCCGGCCCCAGCCTGCAGCCATCATTTCCGCATCCCACCCGAGCCGACAAATTAACAGTAATTACAGGTCCAACCAACCCACCCCCACCCCCCAGGGCTGCAGGGTTCCTCCGCCTCAGCAACAGGTGCGCCTGGGCATCTGGCGTCCTCCCCCCAGCAACAGGTGCACGGGGGGGGGTGACGTCCTCCCCCCCAGCAACAGGTGCACAGGGGTGTGCGACGTCCTCCCCCCCAGCAACAGGCGCAACGTCCTCCCCCCCCACGAAGGGAAACGCACGGGCGAGGATTGGCTGTGTCTGAGAAGAGACGTGCTGGGGTTCGGTGGACCTGGCTCGGTTCTGCCACCCGTTCCTCCTGCGGCGAGTCCGAGCGGGTTGCCTCCCTCCCTTTGAAGACTGCTCTGGGAAAGCAGGAGGTGGTTGGGGAGGAGGTGGGTTGCGGGCAGCTGCCGCTCTGTGAGGGGGTGAAGAGAGGCGAGATGGTGAGGCAAAGGATCCTGGTTTAAACGCCAAGCGAGTACCTTGATACAAAGTCTTTCTCCTCTCCGCCTCCTCACGCTGAACGGTCTTCTCTGCCTCGTGAGCCAGGAACTCGAAAAGAGTGATCTTCCTGCTAGGTTCGATTAGGTCTCTGGATTCTATCATGATTTGCGTCTGAGTGTTAGAACCCATGTGCAGGAAGACTCTGAGAGACTCCGGTAAAAATAAATAATAAGTTTATTTTCTAAATAAACGAAACAAAAAGCTGTCGGGGCAGCAAACTTACTTTTGGGAGGACACACAGGGGTACAGAGCATGAAGCCTTAGGACAAGGACAATCCAGAGACACTGACACGACACCAAGAGGCTGAATATATACAGACACTAACAAGGTGAAATGAAAGGCACCTGCGGTGATTAGGATTAGACGCAGGTGCGACAGTGCTGGATCACAGTAGGAGAAATGTTGGAGGGACTGGTAAACATGAGGGAAAAAACACAATATGCAGGACCAGACCTCAGAAACCCTACAAATATTTCTTACTTGGACAAAGCAAGAGCCCCTAAAGGACCCTTACAACCAAAAATCGGAAGAAAAAAATTACTTGTGTCTATCCACTAAAGAATTCATTCACATGAACAGGGTCTTCCATATTTGCCTGGTGAAAGAAAATTAATTAGCTTGTCCTTGTACCAGGTACATACCTTGATACTTACTGGGTGAATACAAGGTAAGTACCTGTTTGCATTTTTAATTTCTAATAAATATTGTCAAAAAATATATGTATCTAGTAAAACATAATATGCGCCAGGTAAGTACCAGACAGTACCAGATACACACCAGGTATGTAACAAGTGCATACCCAGTAAGAACCAAGTATGCATCATGTAACCAAAAGGTAAGTATCCTGAAATTAATAGGTACATACTTTGTACATACCAGGCGCATATCTAGTAATTACCAGGTATAAACCTAATAACTACTAAGTACATACCTAGTTTGTAGTTCTTGTTATGTATTGTTACAAAATATGTGGAAAGGGAGGTGTGTACTCACTGACAGCGCTTGCCGATGTAGCCTGAAGGACATGCACATGTGTAAGTGTCGGCAGTTTTCACACAGTTTCCCCCATTCAAACAGTTAAACTGCAGGCAATTATCCACTTCATCCTGACAGTTCCTCCCTTTGTATCCAGGTTCGCAGTCACATTGGTACTCTGCCTGGAGGTCTTTACATGTACCATAGATGCAAGGAGCTGACAAACACTCATTTATTTCTGTCTCACACAACTCTCCCCCCCATCCTGGGCTGCAGCTGCAGTTAAACTCATTAAACTGGTCTTGGCACATGCCTTGGTTGAGACAGGGTTGAGAATCACAAACTGGAGCACCTTGGCATCCGATGATTGGCTCATGTCCACTGAGTCTTGAGAACTGGCTCTGTTGAGGTGTATCTGGTACCTTTTTGAGCGGCAGGTAGATTCCACCCACTCTCACCTCCCCTATGCATCCGGTGTATTTTGTTGCCAACCAGATTTCACTGTCATTAAGGAAGTTAAGGTTGCCACCAACACCAAAGCTCCTACCAGCTCTCTGCCCATCTACTGTGAGCTGCCAGAAAGATACTGGCTGTGAGGGGTCCACCATGCTGAGCTGAATGTGGTGCCATGCCCCATCTGCAATGGTTCTGTCACTTGTAAAGGCCAGTAGCTCCTCACCAGGTCCACTGTCTAGTTTGAGCAGCAGGCTGAAGTTTAATATTCCTAGGCAGAAGATCTGAGCTTTGCCTTCAGCCCGCAACAGGATTCCGTTTTCGTCTCGTGTTCGTATGTCCATGGTGATATTGGTCACAGGCTCCAACAGGGAGCTGTTGGCTACATATTGGATAGAATTGTCCTGAAAAATGGCCTCTGTTAAACCTAAGAGAGGGGAACATTTGAACACGTTTACTAGAAAAGAATGTTGCAAGTAACTAACAAAATTATTTTTCTTAAATATCTTTGTGAACATTTCAGATCTGCTTTTTTGGCATAGCCAGAAATACTATCTTGCCTAGCTCAAGAAAAAGTTTAAACCTGAAGAAATAATAAACTTCCTTGCCTGGCTTTACTCACTCTGACTTAATATAGATTTTAATTGCAGACAAAATAGAACTCACATTCATATCCATCCTTTAGTTCTACACATTGTGCTCCATCGAAACAGGGCTTGTCGACACACCACAAACGTGTTTCACACAGCGGACCAGAGAAGTTAATGGGGCAGGAACACTTGAAGTCATTCCAGGTGACTTGGCATTCTCCGTTATTAATACAGGGGTTGTCCTGCACAGAGTTACAGAGACAAACAGAAGAAACAAACAGTTGTTGAATCTCTCACCTGATGCAACCACACTGATAACAGCTGTAGAGAGGATTTACTGGTAGGGTCATCTGGACGGTTTCTCTTATTTGCTGAGACGTTTCGTCCTTCATCCAAAGGACTTCTTCAATCGAAGAAGCCACCAAACAAAACTGATTCCCACAAACAGCATAATCCATAGTGGAAAAAAACAGTTTGCTGGAGGACCTCTTGCCCTCCACTATGAAGTATGCTGTTTGTGGGAATCAGCTTTGTTTGGTGGCTTCTCAGATTGAGAAAGTCCTTTGGATGAAGGACAAAACGTCTCAGCAAAATAAAAAGAAACTGTCCAGATGACCTGACTGAACATTGTTGGATTTTATATGTGGATTATTGAGCATGAACTTTGGTGATTTACTGGTAAGTTACAGTTTAGATGAATGTACAGCCACATCAAAATAATAATTAGTGTTGAATAGCACGTTACAGAAAAAAGCAGAAAGTCTCTGGGCTGTCACTGTTGGAGGCTAGATGGCAAACAGCGTTCATAAAGGCGTCTACAAAATGTCTTAAACAAGCTGCACCATTTTAAAAAGACTTCAATGAATGTCTTGTTGCTTACATTAAAAAAAAATTCAAAACATTTATGCAACACGTTTTCTCTAAAAATATGCACAGTGTCAAACCCTTCTATATTTATTTTTTATCACTCGGAAAGGGTAGATGTGTACTTGTCCACCTGCACAGAAGCTTTCCCTATGAAAGAAAACATCCTAGGCTTCAGTCCTGAATATTGAAGTCTAAAAACCACATAAGAAAACATATGCACACCACATTGCATTTTTTCTTTTTTCATAATCACCTAAAACTAATTAGTCATTTTAGTCAATGGGTTTGAAATATTTTTGTAGAATGGCTTATTATGCTAAAATAAAAATCTATTTAAATTCCAAGTTGTCAGACAACAACAAAAAAAGATTAGCAAGAGGGATGAATCTTTTCGCAGCGTACTCATTTTAGTGCTGGTCAGACTACAATACACAGAATATTGCTCTTTACCTTGCATGTGTTGTCACTGTTACATCCTTGCAACAGGTTTTCAGAGATTCCCTGGTAAACCTCCAAGCCTTCTTTACCACTCCCAAAAATGACTTGATTGCCATCCAGTCGAATGTCCTGCAGGCAGCCCTTGAAGTTTCCACCCCAGGCATTCATGTTGCTCTTGCCTGCAGGAAGCCCTCCTACAAACACTTCATCTCCTGCCTCCACACTCACATACCCCAAGGCTCGATTATTCCCTGCTTTAGGAAATACGACATGTCCATAATTAACCTCTATGGTCACCAAATGATTGCTGCCATCGGTGACTAACTTGGCTTCTGACAGGAGTGTGGTGTGAAAGCTGTAGACGGCAACAGTGCTTTCTTTTAGGTAAATGGTCATGTAGGGCTTTTCTTCTCGATGGAACTGCAACAGCAGTCCATTACGCTTGAGGGAGCGCATTAAAAAGGAAAGAGTAAAGTTTTCTCCATGGTTGCTCGAGACATTGAAGGAGGCGTAACTGGTGGTGTTCTCATAGCCAAATGTCCATGACTGGTATTCTAGTTTGGGGGAAGAACAGAGTTGTCAGTATAATATTTCAATACAACGAACTCAAAACATTTAGAGAGCTTGTAATTTGGTGTGGCATGAGAACAGTGACAGAAACATTTTCAAATGCAATGCTAGGCCCTCACTGGGCTGCAACTGCTGAAGACTAGCTTGCAAATGACATTTGCAAGAGTCTCTAAAATGTCTTGAAAAATTTGCTGGGGTTCTCAGTTTTTTACAGTTTCCAAAGTTTTGTTGCTGGAATTTTGAACATGGTCAATATATTAATGCAACACATTTTCTCTCAGAACAGTCAGAATTGTTGTTGACATCTCAAACCCTTCTCGATTTAGACATCCAACCATCCATCCATCAGTCCATCCATCAGTCCATCCATCCATCCATTAATCCATCCATCAGTCCATCCATCAATCCATCCATCCATTAATCCATCCATCAGTCCATCCATCAGTCCATCCATCCATCCATACATCCATCCATACATCCATCCATACATCCATCCATACATCTATATATAATCTTCAGCCAATTCTTCCTGTCTTTGTCTCAGGCGTCTCTGGTGCCCATGACCAGCTATCACTGTGTGAGAGACAGGGTGACCAGGTCTGGATAAGTCTCCAGTCCATCACAGGGACACAAAGAGACAAACAACCATTCACTCTCTCACTCTCACCTAAGGACCAATTAGAGATACCAATTAACCCAGTCCTTCTCAAATAGTGGGGCGCGCCCCCCTGGGTGGGCCCGGAGCAATGCTGGGGGGGTGGGGGTGGGGGGCGCTTGTGACCCTAGGAAAAATAAAAATAAAATAAAATGGACTGTACTTATATAGCACCTTTCTATCTTATTTCAAGATGCTCAAAGCTCTTTACAACAATCTGTGCCTTGTTGACCCATTCATACAGCTCTATACTAGATCTCTACAAAGATAATTGAACAAATCATTCTAAAGAGACTAATCAGAGATTTATCACATTCATACACTGATGGGACACACATCAGAGGCAGTGAGGGGTTCAGTGTGTTGCCCAGGGCCACTTCAACGTGTGACTGCTGGTGGATTCGAACCCCCAACTCTTGCATTGGAGGACGACTGCTCTAACCACTCTGCCACATGCTGTTTTTGACACAGGGAGTATGTTTTTCACCATTCTCATTTTGTCGCGTGTTCCTAATAATAAAGTTATGGACAAATATGGCTGCCTTGTGGTTTTGGGAGTCATGCATGAACCGTGTCTCTCCTCTGCTGCTGACACGATAAATAAACTCTGACCGTCACCTCCTCGTCCTCCGCTGCTGTTTTTATGTCCACGTGCTCTGGACGCCACTCAGCGCACATGCAACAAAGAGTAACCCAAGCAAGAGCGACACCTGCCCCTCTGTCCTCTGCTGCATTGACTAAATGTCTTAGTTTTATCGATGAGTTTGTGAAAGCACAATTTACAGACGTAATGTTTAATAAATGTTAGGACTCTGTTCTTTGATAACAAAATGAATTCACCTCCTCGGTGAAGCTGCTGTTTTTATGATGCTCCAGACGCTTGTCACCCACAGCAGGTGACAAAGAGTAACTCAAAGCAAGAGGGTTGCCTGCTCCTCTTTCATGTTGTCAATATTTTTTAGTTTTATCGATGAGTGTGCTCATTGATCCTGACTTCATCATTTTGATTTAAAAAAAATCAGCATAAATTGTTTTATTCATTTTTTGATTTTTTTAGATCAAAGTGTTTATATAACAATCCTAAACTAAAATGTTGCTGATCAATTTGAATTAATTATTATTTATTGATTATATTTAATTTTTTTTTTCAGTATCAAATGGTCCAGAATGTTTACAGTTTAAAAAATGATTTTTTGTAAGTTGTTTCTGTTACAGAATAAAAACAATGCTAACGTTGTTCTTCCTTGTAAGTTGATCTATATTCTTTTTTCTTCTTTAATGTTAATAAGGACACAACGTTAGGCAGAGTGTACTTATTACAATTTTATAGGCATGCTATTTACAGTCGCGGAGGAGAGTTTGGGGGGGGGGGGGGTTTACTTCTTTCTGAGGGGGGGCATAACAGAAAATAATTGAGAAGCACTGAATTAACCTAACATGCATGTCTGTGGGAGGAAACCAAATTACATGGAGAAAACTTGCACATGCACAGAAAGAATATGCAAACTCCACCCAGGAAAGTGTCAGGCCAGGAATCCGTCTGGCAACCTTCTCAATTTAGTTTCCGCAGTTGTAACACGCTAGAGTTGGATTTTGACACATGCACCAGAGCTTTACTGATGGCAGAACTCATACAAGGCTACAGCCTCAATCACCAAGTCTAGCTATGTCAATTAGAAATAAAATGAAAATAAAAATTGATCCAAATCTTTCGATCTACATTTCAAATGTCTACTTCAGCAGATTACATCAAAATGTAGGGGAGGCTGTAGCAAAGCAGGCTGAGGTGGGTATGGAGGGAGTGGATGAGGAAATTAAATAACATGCATGGCATCAAAAACGGTTATGCAAGTTGTGTGCACAAATATAGGAAATTATTTTCCAATATTGGCTGTACAAAATGGGTGACACGCACAGTGGCACAGTTGGTAGAGCTGCCGCCCCTCAACAAGAAACTCGCCAGCTCAAAACCTGGCTGGGGGTCTTTCTGGGTGCAGTTTGCATGTTCTCTCCGTGCATGTGTGGGTTTTCTCCAGGTACTCCAGTTTCCTCCCACAGACCAAAAACATGCACGTTAGACAGACTGGTAACTCTAAATTGTCTCTAGGTGTGAGTGAGAGAGTGAATGGTTGTTTGTCTCATTTGTCTCTATGTGTCCCTGTAATGGACTGGAGACCTGTCCAGGGTGTCCCCCACCTCTCACATTGGACATGGGCACCAGTGATCCCTGTCACCTGAAAAGGAAGAAGCGGGTAAAGATAATGGGTGGATGGTTGTACCAAACACAGCTTACTGGTGCCTTTGTTGCAAACACTCAGAGTTTAGTGGACTGTGTCTGTAAATTTGCTTTTTTTTCCAGAAAATTTTCAGTTGTCAACTACCGGTAGTTGCAGCTCAATGAGATACGTGTTTACTGTTAAAGCTATTTTACTATATAATGTATTTTGTTTTCTTTATTTTATTCTCAAAACACCATGCATCTTGTAGCATTAAATATTTACTCATTTTTTCCTAAAGCCTGTTCATGGTTGACAGGCATGGTACACCATGAACAGGTTGTCAGTGAACAGCATACATCACCCACAAATAAATAGAGCAGGGTCTGCAACCTGCAGCTCTGGGGCCACATTTGGCTCTTTGGTCTCTTTACAATACAGTGATTCTTAAAGGCTTTAATACCCCCCCCCCCCCCACCGCCCCACACACACACACACAGACACCCAACAGAAAAGGCTAGTTTTAGCATTTTTCTTGTAAATCCTTTTACATAATGTAAATGATACATGTTGAGGAACCTGTTGACCATGCTTGTAGTTTTTAGCCATTTCACCTCTGTTTTTAGTGAGGGAAGAGGCAGAAATGACTCTTTGGACAATAAGGGTTGCAGACCCCTGAAATAGAGTGTACACAGCTAAAAAACTGCTAAGCCTAGCATGAAAAAGCACATTTACTGTAGAGGCAGCATTTACTGCCATTGACAGTAACATTTTTTTTAATTAACAATTTAACTTGTGAAGATAAGTGCAACTCAAGAAGGTATGTATCCTAGCCTAGGTTTTAAAGCTAAACTCATATTTAAACTTTCAAAAACTGGTAAATATATCTTAAAAGGTATAGTCTGGCCATTTTTAAGTGATGTTCTGTCAAGTAATCATCAACAGTTGTTGCCTTGTTCACCATGACATTAGTCGTAGAGTGCTGAAGATGGAAAAAAAGGAACAATACTTTTGTTACTTTATCCACAAAGTAGCTTATGATAAGAATATAAAATAAGTATTTTAACTTTAGAACTTAGAAAATTGTATTGTTACCTTTTTCACAGTGTTCTCCATAGTAGGGTCGATGACAGTCACAGCTAGCACGAACCCACATGTCCACACACGTTCCATGGTCCAAACAGTCCTCATCGTAACACCAGTCTTTTTTGTAACATCCAAGTTCTAAGCCTTTATACTCCTCCCTCATAAGGTCCTGAGGCAGCAGCAGTTTGTGGTCAACTTCCAGATCTTCCATACAGCCAATAAATCCCTTTCTACTGGATAATTTGTTGGAATATTCCTGAGGTGCTCCTCCAATAAAAAGTTGTTGAAAGAAGCTGGGTTGCAGAAAAATCAAATGGTTATGACCTTCGGTCTTAACTTGGCATCCTTCTTCACAATCAGGTCCCCTGACAGTGAGAACCAACCTCTCATCCATGGCCACACTCACTTGGTACCATTCTCCACTGTGGACCAGGCCAGGGTATCTGGCCTGCAGTGTATTCCCTGATTTTACCCTGGCCAAAAGGGAGCCGTCAACAAGCTCAAGTGAGACAAAGCGTTCCCTGGTGCCCCGATAATACAACACCATGTTTGGTAGAGTACTCCTGAATCGAAGCTGCATGTGGAGACCATGATTTTTAATGCTGACCTCACGTTTTGTTCTGTTCTTGACGACAGGCAACTGCATGTGGACATAGCCCTCCATGTTGAAGGAGAAGGTGGTTGAGGTGTTGCAGCGTTCTCCGGTCCATCCAGGTGTACACAGACAGTGGTAGCTGTGTTGATTGTTATTAGTCAGAATAGGAATGCACCTTGCCTCATGCTGACACTGATGCTGCTGACAGCCAACCAGCCTGACGTCACAGTCCTGTCCACCCCAGGGTTCCTGACCTCTTTCTGGCATGGGGCAGTGACACCTGTAAGAGTTGGCAGCATCTTCACATATTGCTCCATTCTGACAAGGATTGCTGTCACACTCGTTGATGTCCACCTCACAGTGTATACCTTTATAGGAAAACAGAGACATTCAGATCTACAGCATGCTTAAATCCCTTACATGCTTATATTCAGGTCTCTCTTGTAAATGAGTCCTCGAGGCTCAGTGGGATTAACCTGTCTAAATAAAGGCTGAATTAATCATTTGTTAGTTTTTACTGATAGTACTCAAAGCCAAATTTATTTTTATCATCTATCAAAAAAAAAAAAGGACTCAGTGGTAATCTAGTGGCATGAAATGACTTCAGTAGAAATGAAATGACATAATTTGCTACACAGTGCATACTGATGATGGGGGAGTTTTTGTTGAAGCATAACAGAATCTTTCAACATAATTCACACTCCAGGAAATAAAATGAGATAATTAACAATTAGACATCAATACAGCCTGTAATCTTTCTATTCCCAATTATTTGACCCTGCTGTCAAAAGGTAAAGGCAATGATATTTTACGTGTGTGTTTGTGGGGTGGGGGGTGGGGGGTGCATTTTTTGTCAAAATATCCCATAAACCACATGCTTCAAGATGGCCACCACAGCCAGATGACCTGAAAATCACACAAAAATGATTTTGATATTAAATTAAGTTCTATTTAAAGATATTGCACAAAAATATTTTGCTGTTGGAAGTCATTTACAACATATATTCTGAGGGTGAACAGAAGATGTTTGTTTTCAGGTTAATAACTAAGTGGAGTCAGTTCTGTCTGACTTTTAGCAAAACATCTCATGAACGACTAAACTGATTTTGTAGAATTTTCCAGGAAATTATCATAGGATGTACCTCCATTACTTATTATCTTTTGGAGCAACCCAAATAAAGCTGTAGCCAAATGATCTTAAAATAGCTAAAAAATGGCTCTAACTTAGCTAATTTTACATACACCAAGTTCAAATTTAGTCTTCCTGTAGCTGAGAGCCTTTCACAACACAAAGTTCAGCTCTACTCATTGCATGGTATTTTTGCCTAAAATGCTGGCATTAACTCTTGGTCTGAAATTTCTCATGAACCACTGGATGGAGTTTATTAGTATAAGTATTATATGTTGTCATCATTTTATGTTCCCATACAATTCAATTCAGTTTATTTATATAGCGCCAGTTCACAACAAAGTTGTCTCAGGGCACTTTACAGAAAGAGTCACATAAAAGCCAATTAGTAAAGTTCTTTATCTAAGGAATCCAGCAGACTCAAATCTTCACTTCATTGCAGTCTCCCATCCTGAGCAAGCACAAAGGCAACAGTGGAAAGAAAAACTCCCTTTTAAACCTCCAGCAGAACCAGGCTCAGGACAAGCGGCCATCTGCTTCGACCAGCTAGGTTTGAGAGGACAGGAAGGAGAGACAGACGAACACAGAATGGCAGGTCCAGATGTAGGTGCAGTTGTACCTAAAGGACAAAACGCATCAAGGATAGAAAGAAAAAAAATACAAATGCAAAACAGGTTGAGCAGAGTAAGTAAAGACAGTAGTATAGTGAAGAAATGTGGTCAGTTTGTCCTCCAGCAGTCTAAGCCTATAGAGCATAACTAAGGGACAGCTCAGGAAACCCAAGCCGACCCTAACTATAGGATTTATCAAAAAGGAAAATCTTAAGCCTAGTTTTAAAACTGGATAATGTGTTAGCCTCACGGACAGAAAGTGGAAGTTGGTTCTACAAGAGAGGAGCCTGAGCTGCTGTAAATTAGGGGGAGCTAGACCTGGAGGAATACACAGCCTTAGTCCTGGGACACATTAGCAAATGTTCTGATGACGTCACCACCACTTTCAGATATGTTAAGAGAACAGGAAGCCTTGGTTGAATGCAGAGGTTCGCACCCTGATGGTAGCCAAGGACATTGCCTTCAGGTCTAGCAACCCACAGGAGCTGAGAAGGACAAGGAAATAGCTGGTTGCTGGCATTAAGAAGGCCAAAGCCACATACTGTATGCAGAGATCCAGGGTCAATTCACCTCACAAGACCCACGGAGCATGAGGAGAAGCATTAAGTGCATAACAGATTATAAAGGCAAAGGTGCACAATGCCCTAGGGACTCATCACTGCCTGATGCCCTCAACAAGTTCTATGCCCGTTTTGAAGGCCCGAACAGACCACCCAGCATCAGACTCACCTCACCAACAGAAGAAGAGTTTCTCAGCGTGACACCAGCCAAACTGATGAGTACTTTCAGGAGGATTAATCCTCACAAAGCAACTGGCCCAGACAACAGATGCTGAGAGACTGTGCCGATCAGTTATGCGAGGTGCTGGCCAACATCTTTAACTTCTCCCTCACCTAGTAACAGTTCCCACCTGCATGAAGATCACCACCATCATCCCAGTCCCAAAGAGCTATAAAGTGACTGGTCTGAATGACTATCGGCCAGTAGCCCTCACCCCAATAGTTGCTAAATGCTTCGAAAGACTGGTCATGACCCACATCAAAACAACCAGCAACATCAGCAACATCTGCTAAAGCACTTGTTCTTCTCTGTTTGGATGGTGGAGGTGTGAATGTGCTGCTCGCTTCAGCTTTTGATGTTGTAGCTTCAGATGCTGCAACTTCTTCCACCACAGCTGAGAACAGGGTGCGGACTTGAGCGTGCACCTGACACACATCAGCAGGTGTCATAATTTTAAGTTTGTTAAAATTAGGCCACAGGAAAAGTGCAGCTCTGTGTAAGTCGTGGATAATGATTTTGCGCTCCAGTCCTTCTGCATGTCTCATGAGAGGAGCAAAGCAGGGCGGGCAGGGCCAATTGCTGCGCAATGCGCTGCAAGTGCTACTCTATTTTCTGATTAACTTCTGCACTCCATCCACCCATTATCTTTTACCCTCTTCTTCCATTTTTGGGTCACGAGGGTTGCCGTGCCCATGTCCAGCAGTCACTGTGCCAGGGGCGGGGGACACCCTGGACAGGTCTCCAGTCCATCACAGGGACACATAGAGACAAACGAGACAAACAACTATTCACTCACTCTCTCACACCTAGGGACAATTTAGAGTTACGATTCAGACTAACATGCATGTTTTTGGTCTGTGGGAGGAAACCTGAGAACCCGGAGAAAACCCACGCATGCACGGAGAGAACATGCAAACTCCACCCAGAAAGGCCCCTGGACCAGAATTTGAACCAGGGACCTGCTCGCTGAGAGGCAGCAGCTCTACCAGTTGCACCACCATGCTACCCACTTCTGCAATCTATTTTATTTATTTTCATTTCTCATCACTAAACTTATTGCCTCCTCTTCAACAAGCAGATTAACACAATGTTATACTGCACATTCTTATTTAGTTTTCTTTGTGCTGTATGAGTTTTAAAACCACATCAAAGCCCGAGACCAGTCCAGCCCGCACAATAATCACATTATTATGGACCGGCCTGGCCTTAATCCGTGTTGGTTCGGGTCGGGTTCATGTTAGAAACGACAGCTCTAAAACATGCATTGTTCTGTAATGCATTCCTAAATGTACGTGTTTGTTTACCTTTAATTTGAATAAAACCGTTCACCAAGTTTCACTTTCTTTATTTAAATAATGAAGGTAGCACTTTGTTTAATCTCCAATACAGAGAAATAGTTTAATTGTAATGTCACCTCTACTAGGCATTATTCTACTGCACATAAATAAAATCTAAGTGTAGTGATTGTTCTTTGGCAACTTACCAATTTAGTGTTTTATCGACATGTACAAAACATAAAACATGCATGTTGCTGTTCCTCCTTGATGGGGAGAGTGATAATGTTCAAAGTCAAAGCCTATAATTAGGAATTCAAAACAATTGAAACTGAATACAATATGATAACTGTGGGTGATTTGTCTTATGTCTTATCAAAATGACTTCTACATGCAGCTTATCAAATATTGGGCTACAGAATAAATACCAGATCAAAAACACTCAACAAGGAATGATGGAGGACCGTGTAGTTTCTGGCTTTAAAGTTATTCTCAAAGCTTTTTTCATTTACCAGTAACTTCAAATCATTTAACTGATTTTTAAATGTAATCTTTTCTGTTATTAATCTCTGCAGTTCGGAATCACCCTGACTTTCAGGAAACAGAACAGTTCTGTATAATGTTGGTCCTCTTATTACAGCACCATGGAACTGGAACTGATTCCTCGTCTTCATGTGGGTCAACTGGAGCAGCTCAGGATCCAAGAGTGTACCCAGGTCTAGGAGAGCCCTCACACACTGGAGCTTTTCTTTGAATGGAACTAAAGTCCTTCACTCGTCTGTAGCTTAAAAAAAAATTACTAAACACTGTCATGTTTGTATCACAAAGTCTAAAATAAGACTCAAACTTTGCTACTCAAAGCAGAAAATATCGTTGCTACTAACATTTTTACTCGTTCAAAAATATCTATATTCAATTTTATATTGATTTTAGTAATTGAATCTTAGATTTACTTTTTTTTTTTACTGTGTACTGTGTGTTTTGTGTTATCACATAGCTTAGCATAGCTAAGCTAACTACTGCAGAGACATGCTAAAACTCAGTTCCAACTCACACACAGTTATACTCTGACGTTGTTCAGACGTCGTTTCACAAAATGATTGATATAGAATTTTTGGTTTACCAAAGGGAAAAAGTTATAGGAGCAGATTCTTGACGTCTTCAAAGCAGATCCGTGCGGGTGACGTTTACTTTCCAAGTCAGACTGGACGAAGTTCTGCATTCAGCTCGTTTGCAGTCCTTTGTATTTCCTGATTTTCGGGATTAAGTAAAAACTGTGCTTTGCCAAACCGTCTGACCGGTTGGAACATCTTCTAGCCCAGCAGAAACAGCAATTGCAATTTACTTAAAGAAAAAAATACTCGACAAAACTTACTAAGCCGGCGTCTGCAGCTAGAGCTTGTCTACACAGATGGAGAGAGTTTCGGATCCGCCCCGAAGGTTACGTCACTTGGGAACTATGTTTTAGGGATTTGGTGTCTTGCTCATAGACACCATGACATGTGGCTGGGAGTCAAACCACAATTTTACATTAACCACAATACTAAAAAGAAGAGTGTTGTGGCTGAGATAAA